AGCCAAACTAAGTTCCCAATGGTTAGAATGATTGGAACTCTTTAGATTCTAGCCCCCTTCCCATGACTTGAGGGAGGGATGGATTGTGACCTTATCATGAGAACCTAACTCATCTAAAGAAAATCATTTTCAAGTTTTCCATTGTTGTTTCTGGGTCCCTATCTTGTGAGTTCTTACCAGCCATTAGAGAAATGTGCATGAGTGGATGCAGTGAATCATCCAAGGGCAGGCACAAGAAACTTTTCTGTTCTTGTGGATCAGAGACCTTTTCCAGGGCTTCATAGATCCTAGGAGACACAGTCTGTCTCCATAGATACCGGAAGAATGAGAGTCTGTCTCCAGAGACACTGGGAAAATGAGAGTCTATTTCTTTCTGAGATGATAGCTGTAAGCCCAGAGCCATTGGGGGACATCTTTGCCTTCAGTGTAGTCAACAAGATATGTTTTGGTTAATATTGAAAATATCATCCATTTTCAACAAAAAAGTGTAAATTTGTCCCTATTCTACCAGTCCACTATTTTCCTCTTTGTTTATGGCTGAGGGTACAGCCAGGTACCAACAGCCTTAATTTGGTTTATGCTCCCTTTGCTGGACAGATGTGAAATACCCACCCTGAAAAGTCGACTGGACTGTACCACACTGAGATAAACGGTCTGAACTATATGATACGGAATGAAGCAAAATTGAGTTCTGTCAATTCTACCCCTTAAATATCTCTAGATCCCTCCTCCTCTGCTCCCCCTGACTCGCACTGCCTGAGACCATTCCCCAATACCACTTTCCTGGACAATTGCCCCAACTGGTCTCTTGGTCAATGACCTTAGACACTTCAAATGCACTCTCTAAACAATTGGTGAAATAGTGGATCTTTCTAAAACGTAAATCTGACCTTTCCCTCTCCTGTTAAACACTTCAACAACTCTCTCTCTCCCTCTGAGTGCAATCCATGACATGTCAGGGCCTTCATGAGGTGGCTTCTACCTACACCTCCCCTTACAGTCTCCACATCAAATATTCTTTTTTAAGACCTTAGCCTTGGAGCTATTTCTGAGGTCATATAGGTAGTACAGTGATTTTAGTTCCCAAAATGCCCTCCCAAAAATGTGTTTTTTAGGTAAATGATGATACATACATATCATGGAATGGAATGCTATGTGAGAAATAAAAGTGACACGGTAGAATATCAGTAATGGTTATCTCAACCATTGGTGGTGGTGGGGAAATTTTACTTTATCTTTGATGTTTTTCCATATTGTTGACATGCTTACAATGAGCACATTATACTTTAATAATTAGAGGAAACAGTAATGCAATTTCCACTTTAAAAACATCACTAGGTGATATCATGTTTTCGTTAACAATATCTACTACATTAAATGAGAATTGGAATGATGGCCTTTACACAGAGCTGTTTACTCTGCTCTGATGGTAGAATAAGTGTCTGGTCACCTGTAAGTCTGCTCGCCAGTTTGCAGGGCAACAGAGGAACTTCCAGAAGTTCAGACAATGACACGGAGTCTCCCAGTGCCCCCCTTAAAAAGTCATTTTCAGGATACAGGGTATTTTAGGCCCTTCTGTTGGCAGGTCCTGATGCTGTCCCATAACTGTGATTTGTCTCTTCCATCTATGTTTTTTTCCTGTAATCCTATTTACTCTGGTTTCCTTTTGCTGCTTCTTAATTCTTTCTCTCTTGTTCTCATTCTCTCCTCTCCAGCCACCCCCAACCCATATAACTCTCTGCTTTGTTTCTTCCAGCTCTTGGCCAAGTGAGGCAGCCAAAGAACAGAAAATGAAACTGCAATTTCAAATCATGTCTGCGATGTCTCCATCCCTACCTGTGCCACAGATTGGTGGGGACTGGCCACCAGAGAAAATCCAGACAAAAACCCCCTAAAGATTACGGGGCTCCACCCACCCTCCTGGACAGTCCCCATGAAAGTAGCAGAGTACAGACAAGTCACCAGGAAATCGCTCAAAGTCTGAAGCCCTACAAAAACCAAGGCTTCCATTTCTCTGTGGCAGAGCCTGTGGGATCTGTGCTTGTGCTTGGTGTACAGAAGGAAGGAGCCAAGATTAGCCAGGCACCTGGAGAGAGAACGGGCTCAGAGAGTTGTTCTAAAGCTCTCGACTTCTTACAATTAAATGAAGTTTTAACCTGTGCCTGGTGATCTGGCCTCTTCACCTGCCCTCCTAACCTCATCTTGCTTTTTTCCACCACAGAACCCCTAGTCTCCAGGAGCAGAGAATCACTCAAAGTTCTTCAAAGGGCCATGTTCGCTCACCTGTGTGCTTTCTGCAGCTTCCTTGCTTGGAAGTCAGCCTCACCTTCCCTATCTCTCACATGCAACCCCAGCCTCAACAGCATAACACCTAGCTTTCCACAAGGCTTACCTAAGATACCCCTTTTGCCTTGAAAACATCATTGACTGCCCCACACTCATGCCAAGCCTTGCTAAATTACCCTCCTCCGTGCCTCACACCCCTGGGCGTACCTGTATCTCAGAGCAAGCACACTGCCAGTTAGTCTGGCTCTCCCGCCCCCAGTGAGCTCTCTAATAGCAGGACAATATCCTAGTACCCACCTTGCTGCTGGCACAAAAGGGTGCTGAATTCAAGCTTGTTGAATGGACTCAATCACCTGATAGTGACCATAAGCAACAGGGACTGGGAAATCCAGGTTGTGGGGTTGTGATGAAAAGCACCCTCTGACAATAGAAGGAGTTTAATTCCAGGGGGCGGGTGGTGCTGGGGAAATGCAGACTGCCCAGCAGCCTGCCACTCCATGACTCTTCCCGAGGGCCACTCTCTCTCAATTTACAGCCACCTCTTTCCCTAGCTGGCTGCTCAGCTTTCTCCCCTCTGCCCTGGGAGAATGAGCCACCCATGGCTGGAGAGTTAGCAGGTGGACTGTTCAGCAGGATGCCAATGCTACTTCCTGCATCCAAAAGAAAGACATTTTCTCCAAGGAATGGGAAGCCCCTGGGTCTCTCAGCAAAAGTCCAGAAAAAGCTATTTTATTCAGATGGCTCATCATTCTCCCAAGTCCAGAAAGGATCCACACAGAATACAAGGAAGGTGAGAACACAGTTCTCTTCACATTATTCCTCAGAGTAATGGCACCTTCCTAAAACGCTGGTGTCAGAGAAGCAAAATTCCCCTAATTTATGAGGTAAATGCAAAACAGGGAGACAGAGGCATTATACCAGGTTAGAGTGTGGATGATTACACATAAAACTGTCCCTAATAGAAAAAACAAAAACAAGTGTCTCTTAAGGACAGCCCCTGTACTCACCGATTCTACCTTTCAAGATATCTAGTGGAGCAAATACAATATGGGCAAACATTGGAGATTGTTAGCTTTGTTGATAATTTTAATTTCAAGAGTACCATGAGTTCATTGCACCGAAGAGCCATAAAAAGGCAGAATCAAGATTATTGTCACTAAAAGGAAATTGGAAGAATAACAATATTCACTCTATATCAATGATATTGATTATTGTTATGTGCCATCCAGTTGGCTCCAACTCCTGCTGCACCTATGAATGCATGATGCCCACAATGTCCTGTCCTCAACAGCCCTACTCAGCTCCTGTAGACTCATGCCTACGGTTTCGTTTTTGGAATCAATCCATCTCACATTTGGTCTTCCTCTTCTCCTGCGGCTTTCTACTTTTCCCAGCATTATTATCTTTTCCAAAGAATCCTGCCTTCTCATGACACGCCCAAGGTATGACAGCTTCAGTTTTATCATTTTATATTACATACTATTAAATAGAGGGCAGATAAATTCTGACTCCAAGATAATGAAAGTGAAGGGTGGTAGGACATACTACAGAAGACTTCTATGACATTAGACGCTCATTTTCTTTTTAACTTGGCTATTAGAAAATGAATTGACCCCACATCCACATAGACCAATAGTTGGGGAGGGGAAACCAATTTGGATTAAAACAAACCAAAATAAACAAATAAAAAACACTGAGACCCAAAGAGGAAGACCAAGATCCAGTTGCATTTATTGGTTGTGACAAAGTTGGGAAGCTGAGTCCCAGCTCAGTTATTGGGAAAACGGTGCTGAATCCAAAGCCCCCAAAATGCAGGTACGTTAATTATAAATCACAAAATACAGAGGTGCCCCGTTTTTAATCACTTATCAAACATGTTAAAGCCAACCAAAGAGGAAATGGAACATTAGCAGTGAGCTTCGTAAAGTGTAATTTCCTATAAGAGAAATTTATGACCTGTACTTATTCTCCATTAGAGCACATCTAACCTCTTTTATTAGTTTATTCATCAAGGCAGCCCTGGGCTCGGGCCAACTCTGTGAAACCACAGGTCATCAGGAAAGGAATCTCTGGGGGATTTTTCCTCCTGGTCCAGTAGTGTTTTCCAGATCACAACACAGTTAACAGAAGTAGCCATGGTGCATTCGGCAGGAGGTTTTTAGGTATTCCCCAAAAGGCAATTCACAGAGCAAGCCCCAGGGGCTACACTAGCTGTAAAGTGAACAACTAAAATGTACTTTGAAATGAAATGATTTTCTGTTTGCCGTATGAGGTTTGTGATTGCCTCTCAAAGAGTATTGCCTCTATTGCTTTTACAGCCAGGTGCAGTTCTTATTTAGTGATGTAATAAAGAGGCGATTTAGAACCTGGGAGCAAGGACTTCCCAGTCAATGAGCAGATTTATCCCTCACCCACTGCGCACCTCTCCCCAGGATGTTAGGCTGATTTCCAAGCAACCTCACACAGTCCCCCAAAACTGTCTCTACTTCCCCACATGCATGGCTGTTTCTCTCTCTTTACCATACAGACCCCAGCCCTGCAAAAGAGAGCAAGCCAACCCCTATTCTGGGCTTTCTCCACATCTCTGTGTTAAACCACTCTTTCTGTGAATGAAAGAACTTCAACTTTATTGTGATGAAAGCAAAGACATTTGATATTTACAACTTAGCATCGGGGACTAGAATGAGGGAAAAATATGAAAAATAACATCTTACCTTGTTTTAAGGATATTCAGAAACTGCAAAATTTCTGAAAACTGGATCAGTCTGAGAGCTCTTAAAAATCTCAAACCTGGAAAGAGAAATGAAATAGAGATGCTTTATTTACAATGTGTGGTTTTAGCTGTTTGATTTACAGCTGCCAGGGGTGAAGGGAGATGAAGTTCTTGCAGAAGATTGAACCATCTGGTGCCTTGGACTTAGTCCTTCCTTTTGATTCTTGACTGGTTTAATCTCAGCTGGTAAACTGACCTCATTACGGGAGGCCTGTGAGAGCCTCTGTAGAGGAAGGTCTGGTGGGGAGAGCCCAGTTCAGTGAGCTTTCTCATTTGTCCATCTCTGATTTAAAGCACTGTTTTTAAGTTACCTCGTTGTCTGAGAGGATTTTGTTTCTGAAAAATACTGGGAATAGCTCAGGGTAACCCTTGTGCTAAGAGTAGATTAGGAAAAAATCAGATAACCTTATATCCTTGACGGACTTTATTAATCTTTATCTTTAGTCCTGATAAAATGAAAAGCATAGCCCACAGTGTTATCTGTTTTCTACAAGGTTCCATATTTTTCTCCCAATCAAAAAAAAAAATCAGATCCGTAAGATCTCACCCCATAACTTTAGGATTCAAAACTTATATATAATTCTACTTTACTAAGTGTCAAGATAAATGTTTGTCCTTTCTAAATCAGCAACCTCTCATGAATGGAGAAGAGCCAGTGTTCTAGGTGGCAGAAGAGAGAGGGAGATGGGGAAGGAAGACACAACTAAGGATCAAAGGAAATATACAATATTGTTGTGTTCTTATAGCCCAGGGTAAAACATATTTCTGTTGAGATCAAATTCATCAGTCAAAAACATTCTGAGTCACTCATGGGGCTTTGATGCTTGGCCATCATGCAAGAGAATTGCTTACAAAATACTGATTAGCACAGCTTGGAGGTACTTTCAATATCATGTCCTCTCCAGAGGGGATCTTCTTTTGCAGATTTTCTGAAAGCATTTTATTAAGTGTCTCCACGTGCCAGGGTGGGCTAAAGTGCTGACAGGCAGGTCAAAGTCAACAGGTGAGACTTTATTCTGCCCCCAAAAGTGAAGCAGAAAGGGGAGTAGAATGCACAGTGGTGGGAAGAAGCAGTAAGGATTCACTAGAGATCCAGGAAGGATCAAGGAAAGGAAACAGACTGAAGTGTTTCCCAAACAGCTCCACTGTGGGCCCAGTTGATTACTTCTTCTTTAGCATAAGGTAACAAGGAAAAACCAACCTAAAGCCCTTGGGGGGAAATCCCCACTGCACAAGAGGGAGAAAGGATAACGACTCAAGAGGAAAATTTCTCATCTGAAAAGGATTTGCCTTCATGAAGAGAAGATTTTTTCAGAAAGCACTGGCCTCTAGCCTAAATGATATTTATATTCCTTTTATTAAACAAGAAAGTGCAGAGATGAGAAGGGATGTTGATGAACTGAAAAGGCTCAGGAGCCAAAACACAGTCCTAACCAAACTAAAGAAAGGTTGACGTAACACTGCTGAAAAGTGAACTGGAAGCAGAGTGCAAAATGGGGAAGTCACCTCAGACCACAGAGAAAATAAGAAAAGAGAGGAAAAAAGATGAAAGACGAAACTTCCGAAGATAGAAGTGGATATCACAGAGATCCAGCCTATGAATAAAATGTGTTCCCAAGGAAAGTACAAATCACACAACATGTAGATCATAAGTAATGGCCAGGACATGATGGGAAAGAACTTTCTAGATATGAAATAGTCACTCGAGATTAAAAGGTAAAATGAATGACCAGCTCTTAGAGACCAATGCCAAAAAGTATCTGACCTTTTTTCTTCAAATTTCAAGCATTAAAATAAATGAAAAAAATAAAAATAGGAATGATGTATCAGGGTGGGGAGAGAGTCACCATTAACACAACTAAGATCATATCATATACACAGCAGGTGATAAACAGCAACTGGGCAACACGCAGAATGTTAAAACAAGGAGAGTCCAACCCAAGATTTTTATACCAGTCAAGTAAGTTGTTCAACAGTAAACACAATTGAAAAAATATTCTCAAATATCCAAGGTCTCAGAAAATACATTGTTTGCGCAAAACATCTTCAAAGAAGTTCCCAAGCCTTATTCAATCAGAATGAACAGCGGGGACTGGAAGGCGCATGCTAAACAAACTGCTTTTTGTCCTAAGCATCCAGCACACCAGATACAGCTGATCTCACTCCATCACCATCATCACACACTACGGAAGATAAAATAACAATTTAGAAACTTGAGGCAGAAAAAGACTGTCTGCGCTGAAACCAGTCAGGGACTTAACGAATGCTTTAGTAATGAATTACCCACTGATAGTTTTATCCTGAAAATCTTGTTTGTGCATATTTTTTTTCCATTTATGGAAACAAAAATAGAATACAAATGACCCAAACTTTGAACTGATTTCTTTCTTTTTATCATTAAGTGATGCCTTTTGCATCCTGTAGTATTATTTGCTTGTAGCTTGCCATTGTTTTAAAGTGACTCACAAAAATATAATAGAATAAAAGCTTTCCTTTTAATTGAGATGTACGAAAATAAAGGTGGGGAAAAAAATGAATGCAGCAGCCACAGGTCCTGTACACTTGCTAGAGGTAAAGTGTAGATCTAGCCCCGAGTACTATGTCAACAAAGGCAAGCAGGGAGACACTATAAGATTAATAAGCTATTAAAAAGAAAAACAATGGGGCCAGCCCAGTGGTGTAGTGGTTAAGTTCCCGCACTCTGCTTTGACAGCCTGGGGTTCACGGGTTGGATCCTGGGCGTGGACCTCCACACTGCTCATCAAGCCATGCTGTGGCAGTGTCCGACATGCAAAATAGAGGAAGATTGGCACAGATGTTAGCTCTGCAACACTCTTCCTCAAGTGAAAAAGAGGAAGATTGGCAACAGATGTTAGCTCAGGGCAAATCTTTCTCACCAAACAAACAAACAAACAAAAAAGAAGCCAGTTCTCAGGAGAGCAGTTTTTCCCAGGATGAAGACCAGAGAGAAATGTCTCCCTGCAAAAGGAACTCAGGATCAACAGGAGCAACATGCTCATGGGCTCAACATAGATGGGCTTTCTGTATTTGATTGCTTTGTGTTGGTCATTTTCAAGGCATTGGGTTTCATTAACGTGAAGGAGTAAACAAAGTTCTACATGGGTTAAAAAAAAATCAGTCTACATTTTATCCTTAGATCAAGCCAAGCTATCTGGAGAAAAGGTGGGTCTGAAGTATGTATCCTTCAGCCTGCAGTTCACAACAGCTCCCTAACTGCTTTCTGTCTGGGACCCACTGAGGATTATTCTCGGCACAGCAGCCAGAGTGAGCCTGGTAAAAGGTAAAATGGATCACGCTACCCCTCTGCTCAGAATCCTCCCACGTCCCCTAGTTCACACATAGTAAAAGTCAAAGTCCGTCAAGGACCTGCAGCAACTCCACCTACCGCTTCCTTTTGGAGCTGACAGCCTCCTCTTTCTATTACATTTCCTCTGATCTGGCTGTCTTCCTCAGTGATTCTTGACTGTACAGGCATGCTCTGCCTCATGGCCTTTGCAAATGCTGTTCTCTCTGCTTGGAATGGTCTTTCCCAGATGACCACATGATGCACTCCCTCACCTCCTTCAGGTGTTTACTCAATGTCACTATCTCAGTGAGACCTTCCCTGGCTGCCCTAACCAAAACTGCAACGCCCCCTCACCACCCTCCAAAACTCTTTACTCCTGTTGTCTGCTTCACTCTTCTCCACAGCATGAAGCACTAGTGTTTTATGTACTTATGTTATTTCCTTTCTGTCCTCTTATTTCTAGTGTCAGGTCTGTGAGAGGAGGGGCTGCTGTCAGCTTCGCGCATGGCTTCACTTCACGTACCTAAAACAGTGGCTGGCATGGTGGAAATGCAGTAAATACTTGCTTGAATTGAATGAGTGAATCAAACTTTTGAGAAAGAATTAGATGGTGGAGAGCTAAAGGTTAGATACTCTGAATTCAGAACTCTGAGACCACACACTGCTTACTGAAAGGAAAAGCCACAAGCTCTGAAGGTTCACCTGACAGAGGTCAGGGCTGACGCTCTCAGGAAATATAAAGAAGCCCAATCAGGGAAGAGCCTTCACCAGTGGTCACTCTGCTGCATCCAGAGAGGTTCTCAGGAGCATGGACAGCAACCTCAGGTTACAGAAGGAGGCCAAGGAAAGGGATGGGCAATGCCTAAGTGACGAATTATTCATCTTCTTTGCTTTATACTACTATATTCGTATTATTTATTCCATACAACTTAAAATCTCTGAAATAAAATGATTTTCTAAGGAAATAGGAAATGGCTATAACAGTTGTGAGCAAGAAAATGTGTGTGTACCAAAAAACACAAATTATGCCACCCCCCCACAAAGGTACCAGGTCCAGATGGTTTTACAAGTGAGTTCCTTTAACCTCACTTGAAAATGGAATTTTCTCCCTTGTTCTGTGCTCTGTATTGGTTTAGAAAGCTGGCATTACCTAGAAACAGGTACCCGACACATTTTTAAAAAATTGGCAAGCTCATCACACTAATGACTAACCACAAGAATCCTACATAAAACACTAACATATCCTATCATATATTAAGTGAAAAATGAGTTGTAGTGGGTGTTGTGGGGTGCAGCCCATATCCCTTCCTTCTTCAGGGATCTTGATTCATCCCTGGCTCCTGGGAAGTGACCTTACCCAAGGCATGGGAATTTTTTATAACTCCCCAGATGATTCCATCGTGCAGACAAGTTTGGGAACCACCAGTTTAGAGTATCTTTTCTTTACTTCTTTTAACTTTTAACTTGTTAATCCATCTTGATGTGTTTATTTATTTTTGGTTAATAGTGTACCAAAGGGACCAAGTTTTATTTTTTCCCCTAAACAGTTAGCAAATTTCCCTCTACCTGAGTAATCACTTGAAAATCTAAAACTGGTAATATACCCACTAAACCTGCTGCCTCTTTACTTAAAGTAATTTTAAAGAACATGCTGGCTAACTATAAGTTAGAAGAAATCAATAGTATAATAAGAAACTAATTATAAAATAA